GGGGGGTCTGGCTCGTGTACCACCCACACTCACACACTATCCCATGCTGGCGAGTGTACAGACAGTGTAGTCATGTATCTGCTGACTTGCTCTGTCCAGGATAATGTTGTTAGATACACAAGCAAAAGATTAACCACTATGTAAACTGGACAGTGGAAAAAGATTCAGGAAAAATCTTTGTATGAAAAGGTTAAGCCATTGGGCAGTGAGGCAATAAATGACATTTTGGCCCCTTCTATATCAGCACTTTGCTGCTACAAGAAAACTACAAGTACTATAAAAGTACCATTACAAAGCACACACACACTGTTTCCATGTTTTATGGGGACATTCCATAGACGCAATGATTTTTATACTTTATATTTATATTTATATTTTTATATTTTCTATCTCTTTTCTATCCCTTCCATTTATTTTCTATCCCTAACCCTACCCCTAAATCTACCCCTTACACAAAACTTTCTGCTATTTTAGATTTTCAAAAAAGATTCTTCTGAATGATTTATAAGCCTGTTTCCTCATGGGGACCAAAAAACGTTCCCACAAGGTTAAAATGTACTGGTATAACCTTGTGGGGACATTTGGTCCCCATAACACAGGGAATACCAGGACCCCACACACACCGTCTATCAAACAGACCTGTCCTTGACCTCCCACATGTGATAAACTGCTTCCAGGTCAACTGAAGGTCAAGCCAATTGTCTTTCAAGTCTAACCACACACACACACACACACACACACACACATATAAATGCATGTCTTCATACATACAAACAAACAGAACTGAAACAAAATGGTTCAATTTCAGGATCATCATACCATAATTTGTGGAAATGTGGAATGAATGAAAATAAATATACTGATAGATACATAAAATTACAATATTTTAAAATGTATCAAATATAGTTAGGATGCGTACCTTTAACACAATTGCATAAAATGTTTTAAATAAATAAACAGATGCAACAATCACAGTACATATATGTACAGCATATATACACACACATCATTATTTACCCACAATCCCTTTACAACAAAGAGCCACATGCTTTGAAAACAACAAATGGATGATCACGTGAACACAGAAACAAAAGCACCAGCAAAGTTCAAACTACATCAGACGTACACAAAATCAAATGGATCATCAGCAAGATCAATAATCAACCTGGGTTGCTATGACAACAGCACTTGCCAATGCAGAAATAAAAGCCAGCTTAGAAAGAAAGCAAGAAAGAAAGAAAGAAAAAAAGAAAGGTTATTATCTTTGGGACTTGTGAAGAATCTTGCTGGCAGAGCACTAGCTGCTATCACAGAAATCACATCCGCTCCCATGGCTGAGAGACAGTGGTTTCTAGGGAGCAGCCGTACTGGCCACTAAGAGGACACAAACCACAAACAAAGAGCAAACTCATGGAAACTGTGCTGGAAACCCAGCTAGCCTGATACAAGTATTCACCAAACCAAAGCCTCTACACAAATCACTTCTACATGTTTTGCTTCAGGACCCAGATTTAACACTAACACAGCATCAAAACTGTTTAGAATACAAAAGCATGACCTATCAGCTGAGAACCAGTGAAATATACTGTCTCCCTGGACACTGCACTCTGTGAAATACATTTAGACAGTCTGATGCAGAGCTGGGCACCATTCACCCATCCAGCTGATTGCTATATTTAATTTCTAATTATGCCTGGAATACAGAAGCCAATAAATCAAAAGTTAATTAAAGTCATGGATTCATCTTTAGTGGCAACTCAATCATCTCAAACCCATTAACACTGCAGATGAGGGACAACTACTGTGTGTGTGTGTGTGTGTGTGTGTGTGTTAATGTATGTGTCAATGTAAATTAATGAGAAAGAGAGGAAGATGGACAAAAGCCTGAAACATGTTACATTACCTTAGTTTAAAACGTTTTGGATTTTTACTTTTCAATTCACCAAGAAAAAATGGCATGTGGAGTCAAGTAAATTATTTTCTATCATTATTTACAGTATCTATCATTATTGTTACTATTTTCTGACAAGAACTGCATACAGTAATCTAAATACCTCATTGCATTCAGATTTAAAGCATAACTGGATTCAAATCTAATTGTTTAACAAGCATTTTATAATGTTCACACACACTAATGTTAAACTACCAATTTGACATGTCAACAAAATGCTGCTTTGACTGGAACAAAAGCTCTAGGTGAACTAAACAGAGAACCATCATCAATTTTCTGCTTTCAAAGTCACATGCCCGGAATTGCCTGCAGCCATTGACTGGAAATTATACCTAAAACATTCCCACTGATTGCACACATGCACAAAACATGCAATACAATGTGCACCCACACACACATAACTACTAACTCAAACCAAAATAACAAAAGAAAAACAAAAAAACAACTCCAGCCAACGCCTAGCATAGAGGAGGGGTTTTGTGAAGAAAGAAAAAAAAAAAAATTTATGTGTTACCCCTCACAAACAACAGCAAGAAGTTATTTACTTCATACATGGCACGTTGCCATAGCAACAGACAAGGGAACCCTGATACTAAAGACCATGTGATCAAAATATGAAAAATAGCACCAAAAATTAGTGTATGTATGTGTAAGACCATTATAGTGTTATATACTATTTCCCCCCAAAAAGCAAAAAACTGGAAGGAACATCTTTCTTTCTTCATACACAGCATGAGAATAGGGACTGCAATAATTAAGAACGACGCACATTAATCTCCATTAATCTTTTTTGGAGCCAATCAGTGCTGAATCCCAGGGTCCAATGTAATGAACAGAAGATCTTCTCACTCTTCTTTTCTTTCTGTCTGTCTATCTTATCCTCTCTAATACTGTTTTTCTTTTTCCCTCTTGTGCCCAGTTATTCAATTCTCATATATTTGCAGGTCCTTTTCACCAGCTGGAGAACCATCTAAATCCCTCTTAATGATGATAAAACCCTGAGTATTATACAAACAGGTCTCTGTATGCAAAAATAGCATTTTATACACTGTCTATAGATCTGACCTTTTCAGTCATGAACAGGAAGTGAGGAAACAGCATCAAGAACCCTAATATAACTCTTAGCTTAGGGTTGCGACTGATAGACGATAGTATCGTGTATCGATGATAGTCAGAGATACCTGATGCCTTTGACGATATCAAGACAATTATTATTATTATTATTAGGCTAGTATTATCTAATTACTATTAGAGCTTACTTGTTCCACCATATTTCTTTTTACACGTTTTTACAGTGTTGCATGCTATAATCAATCACACACGATTCCGTTGAGTTCATGAATGCAATGGCCAATCAGAGGCGTTCAGATGAGTCATCGCTGAAACACCGGTGCTTTGTTGTTGAGTGCGCGCCTCGCTGACTGGATTCCGCTCTCTTGCGAATTCTCTCATCATAAAAAAAGTGCAGATGTACGTGCGATGTAAGTATAAGAGACAGCTTCACTGATTATAATGGGAGTGTTTTTTTAAACTGCATAAACTCGCGCTAGACTGAAGTCATTGATGTTTTTTGATAATGTAAATGTTCTTTGCTCGTTTTCTGTAGCTGCTGTTTGAATAACTGAGGAATATCAAGACATTCATGTGCTACTTGACTAAAAAGATATAATGTGTAGTTAACAGATTACACTAACATTAGGCTGCCGTATCCTGGAGTTGGTTCACTCTCCGGCTATAAACTAAGTAAACAATTAAAAAAATTAGCATGATAATATCGCAAATCGGCAATCTCATAGGCTGATGATAGGACTATGGAGCAAATCGCCCAACACTATTAGCCATCCACATAAAGCTCTTAGAATTTCAAACAACACCTTGGCAATTCAGGAGCAATCAAGGATTTTATGTCTGTGAACTCAGCTGTTGAACTGCAGTTATTATGAATTTATGTCTTACTTTGAGAACAAGTAGGAGGCGTCCTGTCTCGTATCCGACACCCACTCTGCGCTTCCTCTCCCAGGTCAACCAGTTGCCAAAGGCCTCTCCCCCTGTCGTCACGGCGATCGAGGCGAAGGCGGAGCCTGACGCTCTGCACACCCAGGACGCTTGGTATCCAGGAGACAGTGGAATCCTCCAAATCCCTGCCACGCAGTCTCATTCCCACAGCGACTCACACATCGACCAAAACATTACACTGGGAGACACAAACACACACATATTGAGAACATTAGAGCAGTGTGCATCATACAATTCTCAGCTACACCGCTGAGGGACATACATTATTTCTTTAAGGTAACAAGTTGTCTAACATCAGATTAGAACAAAATTACCAATGAATGTTCAATTCCACCACTTTCTGAGTAGAAGAGTGGAAAAAACAGACTGCAGCATCTTATTGTCATCATCAATTTAAAAATGTATTATACTAAGACTGGGAATTTAAAGGGATCTATTCACAAATCTTTCAAGATTTGCAATTGAAACGATACATTCTTACTATTCTAACTATTTTTTTATGGATATAGAACATTCTAAATATTTCCCCCCAGAAAGTAGGTGGTCTCTGAGAAAACAAAATACAGTTAAAAAAAAATACAAAATTAAAAAATTATATATATACTGTATATTATGATGACAACATGTAAATTATTATATTATGATGACAAAATGTTTTCCATTTCCAATATTTTATTATGCATTTATACTTTTGGGGGAAAAAATTGGGAGAGTTGCATATACTATATACTATATATATATATATATATATACAGTATATATATATATATAGCAGCATATTTATAAATTGCACGTGCACTAATTCATGTTGCCATTTCATTGAATATGAAAAGTTTGTATGTATATTTGTTCACTGTAGACTTAAGGGTAGAATAATTAACTTAGATCTGAGGAAAACTAGATTAAAACTAATGCATCCACTTTCACTCACCCTTTAACACTTTTAAAAGTGTTAAAACTTCAAAACTTCACCTTTACACTTCAGGAAAAATATACAGAGATGTACTCTTATATATATATATATATATATATATATATATATATATATGTGTGTGTACACACACCCATTTTTTTTTATAATAATTTTTTTTATTTTAGCCACATTTTTCATTTTTGTTTAAAGTTACTAAAATTCTAAACAAAACAACATTACTAAACTTCAACTAAAATTAAAATTAAAACTGAATTTTTTTTTATTAAAATCTAATTTCAAATTAACAAAATAATCTATCAATGATACTAAATAATGTCAAGAAACTTTCAACATCAAGCTTCAAGAGATACATCAAGGTGGCTTGGACAGTGACCTGAAAGGATGTTAACAATGGCTAGCAAAAAACTAGTCAAATTTAATAGCTATTGAGTCTATGACTGATTATTCTTTGTGTTTCTAGTTAAAATAATCCAAATAGACATATGTGTAAGGTAGGGTAACACAGCTTTATCTGAGCCACATTTCGACTTGGGTAACAAATTCCAGCAGCTTTAAATACCCACCAGAATTCCAGTTTCACACATAAAAGCATCTACAAGTACCTTTTGAAGTGTAAGGGATGATTTCATTAACTTTCATTAACTTAAATTTCTCAGGGATCTTTGTCAGCACAATAAACGATCAGACCAATGCTTTATTTGGCAAAGGATTATGTCTTGGCAGGCATTCCTGACCCAACCACTGGGTAGGCATGTTTGTTATTCAGCCGAGTGGTGATGCAACGCATCTTCAAAGTAAAGATGACCCAAAGTGGTCAGGACATCACACACACACACAGACACACACACACACCACCACCATCACCACTACAGGCAACTGTGGATTTCAAAATGATCAAACACACATTTGTACCAGAAAATAACTAATAACAACACGTCCAGGGACGTAACAAATGTAAATGAGTTTCTCCACTGCAAAGTTATATCTCCCTGTGGAATGAAGTCAATTTAGAAATCTAGTAATTTAGTACAAGAAGCCTTAATTAAATTCAAGTTTGTAATTTTACTATACACAAACGTATATATGTAGCAACAAACTCTTGTTGTATCATCTACACTTATTCTACAAAAAACTTCCTAGTGGTTTGTAAACTCTTGACTATTTCTATTCTGCATATTAAGGTCTCTCAGATTTAAGTCTTTTATAACCACAAATAACCATTTCCATTCCTTTCAGCAACAAAATATGCAGCATGAAAATCAGATGTTGAATTTTGGTTTTAAAAAAGCAATGAATTCGACTGACCAAAAGAAAATTAATAATAAAAAATGAGATGCAAATTAGCCAACTGGCAACTCCAAATTGGACTGGAGGAGAATAGATGATTTTTCACCATACAAGACAAAACATCTTGTCTTTTAATAACTATCCTAATTCAAGCATCCTTTAAGCCGTTTCTTTACAGTCTTCAGAGGAAATCTAAGCATTTCAATCATTTAATTTCATGGCACAAATTTTTTCCATCCAAATGTAGTTTAAAGTGAACCATATTCCAAGCTAGTTCACAACCTAGTCCTTTTCCAAAGCTCACTCATATGGTTTTAATTACACTTTAATGTGTTCTGATTTCCAGCTCGGAGAAACATTTGATATTAGAATGTGCATCTTAATGGAAAAAGTTAAATTGCTGCTAGATGTGTAAGGTATTTCTAAAGTACTGCAGCATTTGATAGAGCATTACACTGTATTGCATGTTTAAAGTAGCTAACAGTATGTATATAGAGTGCACAGCAAAATAGTCCTACAATATATGTTTGATTTTTCAATTGAATCAATGGCTGCTAGTCTTTGAATGTAAACTCCAGGAAAACACTGTGTAGTATAACAAAGGGTTGTAAACAGTGACCTATGGAAATCATTTCACCAGGGGGTTTGAGTACTCCCTAATACTGAACCATTCCTACGTAGTTTAATGAGAGTAATGGGACCCAGCTGATATGAGCCAGTCATATCACACCCTGAGACCCAGTTTACAATTTAACTTCCTTAGCCTTCAGCACAACAAATCAGTGCAAAAGAGAGCTGTGCTTCACTATCACAAACTCAAACCTGAACCCTCTTCCTTTTTAGTTATTACATAATAAAAAAGACTGAGATGAGCAGTCTGGATGCAGAAGTTTGCATGCTTTGCTCTCACAGCAGACCGGCAGCTGCCCCTGTAATAATGTCTGCCCTTCCAGATAATCCTTTTAGTGAGGGCCACACTTGGCCAGTGCTTTATTAGCATTCATCCATATTTTATCATATTTATTTGTATTTGCCCATGTGCTCTGTAGGCGCAGAGAGGCTTAGGCTCCCCTTGAGAAATTACTTCAGAAGCAAAAGACAGAATCGGAGACACAGACACTTTCAGAATTTAAACATTCAAATTAATTTGTGCCCAAGACAAATGCAAACTGACTCTCTTGATTCACATTCACTATGCACACACACATTCTGGAATGTTGAAATGACTAAAAGTGCACTCAGTCATTTTTATTATTTAATATATGTTTACAATCATGACATACACATAGGATGAAGACTCTATCAATGGCCTAAAAAAAGCATAAAAGATATATTTTAACAATATAAATAACAAATATTTCCAACCCCAAAGTTTTGAACAGTTGTGTAATCTATACATAAAAAATTATAGAGAGCTCAATACACAGTACCAAAAAAAAATATTTCACAAAACCAGCTTATGATGAATTTAACAAACCCTTTATATCTAGAATAAAAAAAACCTTAACAAAAAACTTAAATAACCCAAAGCAGAGCTCTGCCTATCAATGTCACTGTGCTAGGTTGAGTCAGCAAAACAAGAAGGCTGAATTTCATTCTGGATGACATTCAGCGAGAGATATTCAAATACACTTTCCTTTAGCTTTACTGTAGTATTTCAACAACAGGAGAAATATTTCAATATCTCAGTAAAAGGTAAGAGGTGGAGCCAAGGGGTAAAAGGCAAGATAGAAAGTGCCACTTAGAGGCGATTTCGTGATTTTTCAAAGTAGCGCAATCAAAAACAGGGAGGGTATGTGAATAGTGAATGGTGAGGTCATGTGAGGAAGGTCTTGTTAACAGATATAAAAACAGGGGAGTTCATGGTGAGGATCATCAAAATAACCTTCAGGTTCAATGAAATTTCACCCAGCTAAATCTCAGTCGTAATCATACTCTCAAGAAACACTTCAGAAAATTGCAGAGCTCATATCGGCACTTGGAAAGGCACTCTGTCTACCAAAAAATAAAAAAAGATTAGCCACTTTTGGGCCAATTACTCCACAATCAAGTCTTATTTCAGGCCCATTTTCAGACCAGGAACGAGTGTGAATTTTAATGTACCATGTGTGGCACTCTACAACATCCTGCTGATATCTCTGATGCCTCAGCACAAGGTCAACAGAAAATTATTTATCTATCGTTCAGTGGTATTTCCTCACACGAACCATACCATAAACTGTAAAAGGGCAGGGCTGTTTTTGCATGACCCTGAAGTGCTCTGTGACTGCAGTGTGTTTTTCTAACCTTGTAACCAAACACACTTTCACACAGTCCATCTCTGGTGGCTTATTCACAGGAGTCATTTCAAGCATGCTTAATCCCTGAAGTTGTTCTTTTCCAAAAACATTACTTGAGGATTAATAATTATTACTATTAGAAATCAGGACCGCAAGTTTCATGTAATGTAAAGTGCAATGGAGAATAAGAAATTATGGCCCATAAACGGCCCTGACAATACATGACTTTTTTTTGTGCCTGCAAAAAGCTGTTTACTTAGCTGAAAGCAATAAAGCAAATTTATTATCAGCGTTCTTATTCACAAATCTCACTATCGCCCCCAGGCTGAACTGCAGTCCTTTAGTATTTGAGGGAAATTGCCAGCAAAACAAAGCAAGCACAGGTGGGGCAGATAGGTTGTCCCAGCGGACTAGAACACATAAACAGTCCTACCGTTTATTGATCAGAGGTTGATTCTTCATAAATCAGAATTCTTACATAATGAAGATCTGAACACTGTTTCATTTAAGTATCAACTTTACCTCAGACGTTTCCCCAAAAATCATTAGAAGAAATAAAAATAGTCCCAAATTGGACAACTTTTAGTACAAAGCATTAAAATTCATGTGGATACATGGCTCAGATCATTTGATCATAAATCTTTGCATTGCATATTAAAATCTCTGCAAATCAGAGACATTGCTGAGATCTCACATGTGAGATTGCTGGGGCCATTTTTACAGCATAAAATCTGAGAAGCAGGAGTCATAAAGTGTTTTTGGTTTTAATCTCATTGCTGTCTAGGATAAACAATGTAGACCTTAAAAAGATGCCATCTGTGATTTATTTCCTGTGGGTGTAATCAAAAACTGATCTTCAGATAAAATATAAAAATTTACGATACAATATTCAATAAAATTAGGAAACTGTACTGACATAAATAAATAAATAAATAAATAAGCAAGCTACGCTGCAGAGTATTTAAAAGTATAAAAACATCAAAGATGTTATTAAAATAATCCGTTAAACTAAAATATAATGTTGTATGATACAATATTTCATAAAATTAGGAAACTGTACTATAAATAAATAAATAAATACGCAAGCTACGCTGCACAGTCTAAAAGTACCAAAAAAACGAAGATGGCATTCAAATAATGTTTTTTAATTAAAGACTTGCACCAACGTAGATCTCAGAGTGATATCAATAAGTGCAAATCTCATCTCAAGGTCGTCTAAAAAAAAGACAGACGTGTAACAGTAAGTTATCACAATTAATACAGCATATCTGTTGATTAATCACCAGTCAGCCAATATCGCAGTGGCCATTTCATATTTGCATCAACGAACTTGACGTCTCGAATGACTCTGACATCAGCAAAGATCCACCTGGAAAAAGCAGCGAATGCCAAAATGATTTACCTCTGCTTGTCGACGGCTGCAGCGCTTAGATTGTCGCCTGTCGGAGTCGTGCAGAACAATTTAGCCCAGCTGCAGCAGCTGGACTGCGGGCTCGATTTTCCTCCCGCGCCGCCGGTGCAGAAGTGAAGTCGCGCGAGGACCGCGGCCAGGGCTCCGGGAGCAAAAAAAAACAGCCGGTTTCGCTTGCACGCAGACACGGTGCAAAATGATCCGCACCCCGGGGATCTAATTAAATGCCAAGCCACGGGGGCGTATGGTGAAACGTTTATATATTTCGCCTAGGTATGCAAAACGATGTAGATTAGAGTAAAACACCCACACAGGATATCCGACTGTATCCCAAAAATCTATTGCATAAATAGCCTACTGCATGTGTGTATACGGTGCGGGAAATCTCTCGTCGGTTCTTGGGTTTTGGAACAAACCCACTTGAGCCCACAAAAAGCTTATTTGTGAAATTCCGCGGAGGATTGCGGGCTATTTTAAAGTGTTTCCGATCCGGCTATACTCGCTAATAAAGCAGCGTGCAACGTTTCTTAATTTAGGATTTTAAACTGTTGTTTTATATTGTCCTCAGACTCATTCATGAGTAGCCTAATAAAATACAGAAGACCCAGTGTAATTTTATTTTAACTCGTGTAAGATCCCATTGCATAAAACAAGGCCACTATAAATAGGCTCATCAATTTCGTTTTTTAATAAACCATACGAGAACATAGATCTTTTTTTTTATATAAAATTCAATGCAAATTTTATTCTAAATTACAGTAGCCTAAGCTTAATTATAATTTTACCAACCAGCCGTCTTCAGCTGTACAGGTGTGTAGGCCTATAGCCTACCATGAATTCAAAATTAATTAAATAAATTAGTCCGTCTTTTTGTAAAAAAAAAAAAAAAAAAAAAAAAAAAAGATCTCAGTATGTTTAAGACCTCAATTCACGGTGATTTGGTTAAGCTGAATGTTAAATCTGATTTATTTTTATTTTATTTTTTTCTCCAGATTAAAGAATTTTACAGTTTCTTTAGAATGAAAAGGCGTTCCCTTTCTTGTCGTTTCATGCATTAATAAGTTATTTGAAAATATCACCATTCCTTGTTGTCATGTCCTCAAAGCTTTTGAAAATCAGAAGTGGGGAAAAAACAAAGACTATAGAATACCCTTAAAAAAGGGGGAAAAAAGAGAAAGATTCGCATGTGTTGGATTTGGGTGTTGAATATGTATCGCAACCTGTTCGGGACGCCACAAGGTCAGTGGGACGAAAACTGATAGACTATTGCAGTGATCCTCAAATCTGGCTCCAGTTTCCTGCAGAGTTTAGCTCCAACCCTATAATCAAACAAACCTACCTGTGATTTTCTAATGATCCTGAAGACATTGATTAGCAAACTCAGGTGTGTTTGATTAGGGTAGAGCTAAACTCTGCAGGAAAGTGGATCTCGCGAGCCAGATTTGAGGATCACTGGGCTATTGGTTTCGCCCTGCAGAAATACACTTATATAAAGCATGTCAGCCATAGCCTACAGCACACGTGTTACGTGCTAAAAAATAGACACACATAAAGTCTATATTATCACGAAAATTAGTTTCATATCATAGAGCGAATCTAGTTATTGTATATCTGATCTAAACTACAGCGAACCTAGTTATTTTGCACTTTTTAACATGTTGATGTGTCGCGTGGAGTTCTAACTTTAAGCTTTACACTTGACTTTACTTGTTGGTTTAATACATTCATTTCCTTATAACGGCAACAATTATAAGTGGCAAAAAATGTGGATGAATATGAATTAATCAGGAACATACGATTAACTCTGAGAACGAAAATATCTATATTCTACATTATAAGACGCTTTTAGAGCTTCTCAACAAAATTTTTATATTGTTGGAACAGTTGGATTTCCTATTTAATTCAAATGAATTGAATGTATATATGATATTAGCCTGACAGTAAACATGCATGAAACAAAATTGAGATTTTATACACCAGGGACCCACAAAGTAGAAAAATCAGGATGTTCTCTGTAGCACTTTGCCATAATGTTAATTTTCCATTGTATAATATTTAACAGGCCATTAGCAAATATTCCTTCAAATAGTTTATGAAAATGTCATGGGTAAAAAAAACTCTTAAAGGGAACCCCAGTGCCTTCAGAAGAATAAAGCTTAGTCTAGTCTATTTATCAAAGAAAATGGAGTTTCAGGGGGAAATATTAATTCGTGTAATCAAAAAGAAAATCTTTTAAAAAGTTATTTTATTTGAAATTATTTAAATACAAATAATATATATTTTCCATTTACAATGACAGTTTTCTTGTAAACAAAAGTGGCAGATACTGTTTACTAGGCAATTCACCCCTTTTTCTGGCCGGTGAGTTTCTCTGTGTTTATGTAGAGACATGATTTCTCATAATCTGTGCACTTCAGTCACAGCTTTCTGTACACAGCATGAATTATGAGGCTACAATCTTTTTGGAACTATAATACTAAAATGTCTATTTATCTGTAAAACTCTTATAATTTGATCAAATTGGTTGTGAATGTGTATTACATGCAGCCATGTGACACTTTCCCTCTGAGTAAAGATTGCATTGTGTTTATGCTAATGAACACAAGGGGGAAAAAATAAGTAAAAGATTTTCTAATGACATTTGCAGTTTTCCAAAATGTATCTATAAAATACATACATTAACTATTGGGAACAAACCAGAAAATCCAATTTCCTGTCATAAATTCAAGATTAAAAAAAAAAAAAAAAAGAGATTACATTTCATATGCACTTCTACATTTCAAATAATTTCATATCAGTCAGCTTAACCACGAACAGACCAGACTAATATTTTCACAACCACTAATTCAGCACTTCCAATACGCTGCCAGATCTTCCACTGGTGCAAAATCACATTTAAATGGGACGAAAATAATCAGATTCACAAAAAAGCAAAATCTACCCTTAATTTTGAGCCTTGTTGTCATCCCTCCATGCAGAAAACCAACATAAGAAAAACCTGCAGAAATAAAAACTGACCCTCAGTTATTCCCATCACTCAAACGGATGTTTTTGTATCAAACCATTTGCAATATTTGTGGCCACAAGGAAATCTGTACATCGAATAAGGCGTTTATATTTTATGAGAGTGGAATGTAAGACAAAATTATATATAAATACAAAAAAAAATAAATCAGGCTAAACTATGATCTACAATTGAGGCATTCAGTTCCAAAAGAAAAAAGATAAAAACATTATCCTAAAAAACCCAACAGATTAGTGTAACTGATGGGAAAAGGCTTGCACTTGTGCATGTTCAGGCTATAAACATGGTCTCCTTTTAACAACTGTACTCAGCAACAATGGGGAAATTTCCAGTTTACGGTTTAAAAAGTCAGTGGAATGAATAAATCAGGGAGGGAAAAAAAAAAAACAAACTTGAATTGTCCTAGGGTTTCAATAAACATAGACCATGTTATTACATAGCGCCAAGAAATCAGTCTGATATTGACCTGCTTATTTGTTGAACAGCAGCGACATTAGGAGTTAAATCAGGACTAAACCATAGACCTGGCTGTGGAATGTCACATTTTGTGAGGCTGAGACAACCTGCACTTGTGACGAGAAGCTGGAAGAAGTTAAGATAGGTGAGATTTATAAATGTATTGTGTACTTCCACACTTCATGGCCATGGAGACAAATTGAGACGCAACCCACAGCGGTGCAGTACACCCTTCACCCCGTCATTCCTGCTCAAGCTTAAAACGCACATCCCCGTCCTTGTGGTTCATGCTCACTCCAGATTACACGTCACACAGCCTCGTAAAAAGTGGAAACACCTGGTAAATTTGATATCTAATAAACTACATAAAACTGCAAAATGATAAGGTAGAAAACACCCTTGAAGCATAAACAGTGACACTGAAAAATGACAGTCATGAGGTGTGTGATTTTTCAGTGGTACACTGGTTTTTATTTTTCCGACGCATTGGTTGGTCAGACATCTTTTTCGTCAAGTGGAGAGGAATCTGAAACACAGCTGGACCCCACAAATAACCACTGTGACAGCCCACCGATAACGACTGGATGAACGCAGGGAAAGATAACCAACAGTTCCTTAAGTCTTATTTTGATTGGCGAACTAAAAGGACAGATTTGTGACTCATGAGTGTTTTGAACAGGAACATGGGGCGTCAACATCCTTGCCTCCTGTTTGCCTCCGGTGTGTGGCGGCCCAGAAGACGGCAATGGTCTGGGGCTTTGTGGCTGTGTAGGAACGTGTGTGTGTGTGTGTGTGTGTGTGTGTGTGTGTGCGCGTGAGTGGGCGCATGAGTGGGCACATGGGTGTATGAGCTGTGCTCAAGTCTGCATGAAATGACTGCTTTAGTCGTTGTCTTCTTCGTCTTCCTCTGATTCCTCAATGCCATCACTGTCCTCCTGGTCATCTTATAAATATATAGCATAGAAATAAGAAAACATTTCCAAAAAAAAAGATAGTATAGGAAAAAAAAAAACTGACCTTGAGTGGCTTGATCTGATCTAATCCCATGAATGAATCTGATCTGAGAATCACAGAATATTGATAGTTTCCGGTTTTGGATGGAGCGGGGAATTTCAGTTCAACCTGAGGCAAACAGGAAGTTTAGATAATCATTGTTCACTTTACACAACTCAGCAAAACCTAATACGGAGGAGTAATTGGGAGATATGGGGTGATTTATGACCCTTTTGTTTACATCCTTGCATTCTCATGCTCCTCACAGAGAGGAAGCACTCACTGTGTCAGACAGAATTATGACAGGCGTCTGGCTGCTCTGTAACCAGACAGAGACTGCAGTATGGAGGTTGCCTGGCAACAGGCTATGGGGAAAACTGCTGCGCAGGAGACTGTGTAGCTAGTACCATTCAGCCAGTCTCACACACACACACACACACACACACACACACACACAGTAAAACACTCACTCATTCTATTATCTTTCCATTTACTACATTTTAATGACAGCACACCATATTGCAATTAATTCTAGTCATTTGTTTTTGTCATTATGTATTCGAGTTCTAAATGCCTTGGTATTTCTATTGTAAGACTTAAAAAAAAAAAAAAATCTCTCCAAATAGAAATGTACACTCCCAATCCTGCAATGGCACAAACTACAGTCATGATTATGAACTAATAAGAACAATAAAGAGATTTTTGGGCTCCCACCCCTTTTCACTAATGACTTTCAATAACCAGTCATTTGTAATTATCATTCTGATTCAGACTGATTGAACCGGTTTGATTTTCATTTGATTTAATTAAATTCAATTCACTAATTGATTCACAAACTGTTAACTACAACTATTAAA